GGCGTCTTGAGATCAATTAGGCATTACCTGCCTTTCAATGAGCGCATATTGTTCAATAACACAACTATAAAGCCTTTATTCCTATATGGTGGAGCAGTGTGGAGTATGACATCCAAGTCAAACATTAGACGTGTTTTTCGATTACAAAAGAGAGCTGCCAGGACTATACTAGATATTAAAACTAAAGAAGAACGAACTGATAGGTTATTTAAGAAACTAAACTGGATGCGTTTTTACGATGAAATTAAGCTTAACTACCCATGTCTTATTTTTAAAGGTATACATGGGCAATGCCCAGTATATCTACGCACTAAGTTAGTCCTTGTAAGTGATACATCAGAAAGATCTTGGCGTTATGGCCAGATAATACTACGCTACCCCAAATACAACAGGAAAACAGAAGGGTGTAAAACCTTTTTAATATTATCAATTCTACTATGGAACTCTTTACCTGTCAAAATAAGATCTAGCGAAACTATCGGCTCTTTTGAACGCAAATATATTGAGCACATAAAGGAGGGGTACGCTAATATTGATCATTTTCGAATATCGTAATATTTTTAAGTTTTATTCTTTTATTGCATGTTGATAGTTGGGTCATTTCCTATTTTTGTAATTACTATAGGTAGAAATTTCTAAATTATTGCAATTGTTTGTAACTTTTTTTTATTGTAATTTAGGTGAGGGCCACAGGTTTTTCAGTCTGACTGTAAAGTGCTTCCCTCGTTAAATAAAGTTATTCATTTATATTATATTTGTTTATTTGTACTTATGTACCCCATGTGGACCCAGAGCTGGCCCATTGCGCAGCTTCAGCAATTAGACCGCGAGAGCCGTACGATCCTGAAAGAGAACGGCGGCTACCACCCCATGGGAACAACAGATTTACTTTAAACACAACGATTATATAAAATACATATATCTGAACTGAGGTTATGAAAACATATATGTGCACGATCCTCGCAGTAAAGCACTATTCAAGCAAGAATGAAAATCAGACCTGAAAAAATTCAGGATTTACTTTACCTGGCGAGAAAGCACAGTGGAAGAGGTCTCAAGTCAGTAGAGTCAACGTACAAGACTATCGAGGTGAAGACTGCAATTAAGCTGTACGCAAGTGAAGATCCTCCAACTATGTGCATGGTACGAGAGTTCAAGGAAAAGTGCGAGAGAACTAGAAGACGATCTTTGAAGAAAGATGCCGAGAGAGATGCTTCGGAAAGAGGACTTCATCTGAAGTTAAGCTACCCATGCCCGACTGCTAACATCGAAGAAAGAGAAAAAATACTTGGATGGAAAGTCGGGGCTACGATGAGGATCAAGGAAGAAGAAAGTAGGACTGAGGAGGTAAGCCAACAGAAATGGCAAGGAAAGTTGATTGAAACAAGATGGGATGACGCGGATGTGAATGGCTGTTTCAGTTGGCTACACCGCTGGAAAAGTGCGCCCACGCACACAGTGGCTGGAGTTTACGAACTATACCAACAGCTACTCCCCACTAAGATTTACCAACAGTACAAGACAAAGACAGGCAACAACACAGACGTCAAGTGTCATATGTGCGGAAAAGCTGTGGAGAGCGTCCCCCGTGTTTTGAGTGGATGTGGCGCACTGGTGCAGAGCAAGTACAAGACCAGGCTCGACGCAGCTCTCAAAGTTCTATTCTTCGATCTGCTCAGTGATATGGGCCTACTAGATAGTGCGCCATCTTGGTGCTCGCCTGAAACACCAAAGCCAGAGTACAAGATTGATATAGCCAGCACCTTCTGGGATGTACCAGTGTATGCAGAGAAGACGAAAGTAAGAGCAATGGGATCGATGCAAGAGTTGTGGACAAGCAGAAGAAGAAGGTGCTACTACTAGAGATGAGTTGACCGTGGATGGCAAGCAGGAAAAAGAAGGAAGAGAAAACATCGAAGTTGTACCGCTTAGATGGGAGATGCATCAGCAGTACCCACACTTAAGATTGCACAGCACAACATCATCATCGATGTCCTCGGGGGCGTATCAAGAGAGACAATAGATAGTATCAAAGAACTTGTGTCAGGGCAGATAAGATCTTACTAGATATGCAAGAGGAAGTCATCTCAAGTAGTCTTAACATTGCACGGAGTTTCAAAGCTCTCACTGCGTGGGACCTATGAACTGGCCAAACTTTTACCCATATATTTCACATCTTTTTGGGTTTCTTGTATCTTTGAAAATTTCTTTAATTTACTAATTATTTTAGGCTATGGTAATGACAAGCTACGCGATTGCGCCTTGTCAATATCTCATTTAAGGAGGCATCCTTACGTTTTACAGCCCATTATAATAATAATAATGATAATAATAACAAGAAGAAGAAGAAAAAGAAGAAGAGAAGACAAAGTCCATGATCTGTTGTTTTTTTTTTAATTGAGGTCTTCTTGGTTTCCTTCACAGCTGAGTATGGAGGACTCACCTGTAGAATATCTCCAGGTAATTCATAAAGTATAAGACGATTTAACTGTTACAGACATGTAAATGTTATTAACGTTGGGACAGGAAGACATTGCATTTTAAAGAAATGACTTGAACAACGTTGAAAGAGAAATGGTTGCCTTCGTCGTGTATTTATTGACAGGTTTTCCCTGTTGTTTTTAGAGAAAATATGACCTGGATTATCAGACGGCCAGAAAACATCTGGGAAGGTTTGGATTAATAAGTCATGCACATACCATAAGGACCAAAGATTTATCAGGTATTTCTTTGTTTTGTCTGTTTGTATTTCACCATCTCTTTGTAATGTGTAATTGAATACGATTAACAGTGAAAAGCTTATAAGCATGTTCCTCCGTCAGGTGGTCAGAAGTCACGTGTGGCTTTCGCAGACTTGGCACTAAGTAACCCGGATGTAATTGTGCTGGTGAGTATATACCATTCGCAAACCACCTAGTGGTGCTCTTGATAAAATCTTAATCGGCTTCTTATAAGGCGGTATCAAGTTAATAAAGATTCCTTTATGTTTTAGGATGAACCTACAAACAATTTGGACATAGAATCCATCGATGCTCTTGCTGATGCTATTAATGAGTTTACCGGAGGTAAAAAAAACTTCCTGAATCCTTATGGATAGTTTGATTGGCCATACTGTGTAGTTATTACACATGTTTGTATATTTGTTCACCCATGAAAGTAATTCAAAATAATTAATTGTTTAAAAGGAGATGTTTCTCAGCGGTCTTAAAGTTCCTTTGGTGAACTTAATTAAGAAAAGTGGAGTTGTTAGCAGCCTCCTTTACCCTTAAAGTGGCTGGGTGAAGTGGCGGACAAAAGTTGTTAAACAGTGATCTGCGTTACTCTTGCATTCCTCCAGGTGTAATTTTGGTAAGTCACGATGCTCGTCTGATCCTGGAGACCGCTTGCCAACTCTGGGTGGTTGAAAATCAGGAAATTACTGAGGTGGATGGCGATTTTGATGATTACAGACAAGAAATATTAGAGAAACTTGGCGAGGAGGTGGTTGCCAAGTCTGCTTAAACTAAACTGGATTTATTTAAGGTGAGGAACCTAAAGGATTCGCGTGAATTGGGGTTAATGGAATTTTCCTTCTAACATTTTGTTGCATTTGTTGTAGTTTCGGACCGCGTTGGACAAAGAAAAGTCAGTCATCATACAGGACGATTCACATCGGAGTTCTTATGTTTTGTTTTGTTTTTTTTTGATGGAGTGGGCATTTCAAATAAACATTTCTCCAACACTCGTTAACCGAGCTATTTTCACTGACAACAATCTGCATAAACAATTATGTAAAAGCCGTCATGAAAAATGCTGAAACCTTTAGTACCAGCAGAAAGGGAATTGAACATAATTGTTTCAGTCTGCTCTTAGTAAGGCCAAGTTCAGACGCCGTACTTCAGCCGTGCCGAATCGTGTTACTTGGGTATCTAAGCCGGCTATGTTATGGAATAATTTGGATATATCAACAAAGTTGAAATGGTAAATTGGCCACCGTAATGATTACAAAAGCTGACGTTTCGAGCGTTAGCCCTTCGTCGGAGCGAATAGAGGAATTGTGGGTTGTGTGTGCTTTTAAAGGCAGAAAATGGAGCTACGTTATTGGTGGGTGCATGGCAACGAGAAAAACATGAATTTATTAGTGGAATGAAAAGCGTTCATTGATCCCTGTGGGATTTAGACTGCCGGTTTGAAAGATGAGCTTTTGTTCAAGATTTTTACGGCTTTCCGTGCCACCTAAGTGCAAGGAAAGACCGCAGATTGCCATATGTTGCTTAGAATGATT